TAGGGACTTGGGGGTGGAGCAGATGGTTTCAATGAATAGTGATGAGTTTAATTACTACGAAGGTACGGTTTTGGTGGAGATTATGAGCCTTCCTAAGCTGAGAGTCTTGTGGGCGCCCAGGGTGAATATGGAAGGCAGTTTAATGAGCAATTGTGATAGAAGGTAGTAGGAGAGGTGAAGAATGAACTCCTCCTAAGTTCCTCCTAGGCACGAATCTTCTTCAAGGAAATATCACCGAATGGAATTGTTCTTGAATGTAGAAGGAACACGGATGAATGTAGGCTCAAGCCTTGGATGGAAGCATCCAAACTCAAGAATCAAGGGAGAGCTCACTTCAAAGGGAAGGAATAAGGAGGAATTCCTAGGGTTTTGAGGTGAACTCTTGGAGACTTTGAGGAGGGAAACTCGGCACTAAGGCTCACAAATTTCATATATGATTCAAAGTGTTTACAAATGACTAGAAGGAACACTTAAGTAAGCTCTACCGAAATGCACTTTTGGCTCCTAAACACAAAGCTACTTGTGGCGCCTAAAATTTGAATTCAAACTTGAAATTTGAATTCAAATTTTTGGCTCACAAGTACATGGCCGTAAGTTTTGGTGATAAGGTGCATTTAGGTCTGATTTGGAGGTCATTTAGGGTTAATTTGAGTGTCACATGTTCAGCCACCAATGGTGCAAAACATGTGACTCAAATGTAACTTAAATGGCTTCCAAATTAAACCTAATTTAACCTAATTAGCCTACTTTAGTATTCCTTGTATTTTCCTAATCTAATGACCTAAATACATTGGTCAAACAAATACAATGGAAAGAAAAAAATACAAGAATGAAAATGAGCCCAATATTGGGTACCAAAAGCCCAAAGGCCCATGAAGCCCAAAACTAGGCCCAACTAGCCTAAAACCTAAAATGCTACTCTATGTGGTCCAAAATACAAGACCAAAATATATTCAAACTATGCTAACAAAAATATAATAAGAATGTTAATAACAAGATAGGCCCATGTTGAAACTTGTTTTGGGCCTTCCAAGCCCAGGGGGCCCATTGGGCCTTGACTGGCCCAATCTTCCCTGTCTAGCCCACTCCTCTTGGATCTTTGAGTGTGTCTCCTCTTGCATTCCCAAGTATGATTCCATCAAATTGGGGGACGCGTGATAACTTGGAGATGCTCAATTTGGCATAAAATGATTTCAATGGGGATTTTCCTAATCAAATTAGTATCTGCAAGAGGCTCTATTTTCTTGATTTGAGCTTGAATAACCTTACTGGTGAGGTGGCTAAAGATCTTCATGTGCCTTGTATGACGTGGTAAGCATTGTTGGATGATAACGTAGACATTTAGATGATGTGGCATACACTGTTGGGTGATGACATGACAGTTCGTCAGCCACATCATCACTTAATAGAGGAGGACCAACGTTAGGTACTAAATTGAGAAAAAAAAAGTCAAGTATTTAAAATAAAAAAATCAATAAATAATAATATGATAATCGACTTAATTGGAGGTAGTTTGAACATATTTAAACCTAAAATATAATATTAATCATTGATTAAACTCATTATAACATTAAAGACAGATTTTAAAAGCAAAACTTCATTTGATCTACCAAGTGTTGGTGAAACTACTACCATAAAACCTACACTCAAAATATTATTTGATAAAGTTGATATGATGGACATTGTTTGTTTGGACAACAATGAAGAATGTTCTGTTAAGTCCTAAAAAAAGTTTTTGTCAAAATTGAATCATTTGATTAAAGTAAATTTTCATTACAAATTTGGAATCGTTTTTACAATAAATTTTGATTTTTCATTGTTACTTTATTGGACTTTGTTATTTTGTTGGTTTATTAAAATGATATATATATACTATTAAGGCCTAAGAAAAGTTAATGTAAAAATTGAGCCATCTAATTGAAGTGAATTTTTATTGGAGTAATTAAATAGTATATATAAATATAGACAAATCATATATAGAGAATTAATAACAAATATTTTAAATAAAAAATGTATCATACGCAAATTATATATATTAGTATAAATTTTTATAATTTTTTCACAAAATTTTGTACATTAATTACCACACGTGTAGAGAAAATAAAGACATTAAAAGGAGGAATTGAATAGTATAAAAAAAAACTCAACACTTTTTTTCCAAAACAATGAACTAGTTATGGAGTCTTATGAGTATAGATGAAGAGTTAAGAAAAAAGAACACACAATATTTTTATATTGGTTCATCTCAACACCAAGACTATGTTTAGTTTTTGATCAACCCGATCAAGTTTCACTATCTTTTACAAATATATAAATATATTCTTTCACAAACCACTTTTGAATCGATCTAAGTGTTTTTTTACTTATCTCTTCAAGTAACTACTTAAGTATTCTTTGAACACAAAGCCTCTTTAGATTTCAATAACCAAATATTATTTTATAGTAATGTTTCTTCGGACTTTAACAACTAAGTATTATTTTACAATAAAACCTCTTTAGGCTCCAACAACCAATTATTTTTTTACAGTTAAATATTTTCAAACTCAAAGTAATAACACAAAGTTAAAGCTAGGAAATCACTTTGTTGTTTCGTTTTACTATCAAAACATGATACAACCAATTAAGTACAAAGCTTTTACATAAAGAATTTATATATATTTTTACAATTGTGGTTCTCTCTATATGTGTGTATCTCTATTATTTCTGAATGTTCAAACTTCTTTATATAATTGTTTCATGAAGATGACCGTTGCAGATCCTTGAGCATCTCTCAGGTTTTGCTTCACCTTTGTTCCTTGTAAAAGGAAGTATCCATTGGTTCATTGGATATGGACAATAAATGTGTTTCACAAAATTATCACTTCTTATCTAATTAAGGAAACTACTTATTATCTTTTTTGTACCAAAAGAAAGAAACTGTTGCATGTGTTAACCAATTTTTTTTTAAGACTTTGCATACTTAAGGAGATTTGATTGTCTTTTTTTTTATGCTAAATATGTTTGTGTTCCTTTTTTATAGTTCATGTACTAAAGAAAATTTTATTTCTTTTGACCTGTTAAGTAATAATAGAGACACATATGATTTGGTTATCAAACATCATAAATGACATATATTAAATGTTTTGGCCTTATAAACGAAGTAATTCATTTGAGAGACTTAACTATTTAATACTTTGTTATATAAATTCAAATTAATGTATAAAATATTTTTATGATTATTCATCAATTTAAATTAATGAAATAAAATATCAAATAGTTTTCAAATTTTTAAAAAATTTGCAAAGTTAATTTATGTATTAAGAACTTTTAATTCAATCGTTAAATAGTTAAAATTTGATGTAAAACATGAATTATTGAGTGAAACAAGTTCAGGTATACTTGCTCTTTGAGTAGGTGGATTCCTCCTTGTGTAAATTTCTTTTTTAATATACCTTTTATATTTAAAATAAATATGTGTAACATAGAATTTATATATATATATATATATATATATATATTATTTTTGTGTATGTTATTTGAACTCTCTACCACTAAGTATGAAAGTTAATATATTTAATTATTTTTTCCAATATTAATGTGACAAAAAAATGGATTTAATATTTAAAAGGTCATGATTCTTAAATTATTTAATACAAAAAATAGTAGAATGAGTTCTACAAATTAATATTTCTTAAATTCTTCATCAGTTACTTTTAAAAATTGTCTTTTATTTAATTAAATTTAGTTTTTCATTTATATTTAACATGTATATATATAATTTTTAATTATATATATATATATATATATATAAATTTAGTGCATATATTAAATTTAGTGTAAATTAATATATTAAACCTTTCATATTCATTTTTATGGTTATTTTTAAAAATTTAAAACAAAACAATTTATCTTGGAGGTAATTGTTATCACACCAAAATCATAGCAAACAACTTATCTATAGAAAAGATAATCTAATATTAAATAAGATGTACGCACACTATAAATATTAAAAAAATACCAAGAATATAATATACTGATTTAAACATCGAAATCTCTTTTACAAGTACCTTCATGAAAAAAATCACATCATCCAAGTATAGAAGAAAATAAGATCTTGTCTAGAAAGGTCAGTATCAAGACTATCATAAGTGAGAATAATATATTTTTTAAAAAATATATAAAAAATTATCATAGGTGAGAACAATATGTTTTTAAAAAAATATATCAAAACTATCATAGGTGAGAACAATATGTTTTTTAAAAAATATATCAAAAAGTATATTTTATTTATATTTTATATATATCTTTCTCTTTGTGCTGCATTATTTCACAACTAAAGAGAGATTAATGATATATTTATTTTATTATTAAATTTCGTTAAACAAAAAAAAAACATGAATTTCAAAACACCAAATCAAAATATCTTTTTTTAAAAATCTTTTCCAATGTGATTTTGTGGGTTTCTAACAAGAATCCAAACACACGTTAAAACAAAAAAAAAAATAGTTTCAACCTTAATCAGTTAATCCAATAATTTGATAAGATTATAAAATGAGTACACAGTAAATTTATTATTTTTATAATAACTAAATTAAAAAAAAAAAATTGGTCTAATTTTGTTACAGAGCATGTTGATTTTCTTTTTATTATTTTTTTTCCGTATTCATTCATAATATAATTAATTAATATTTTGAATGAAATTAAATGATATAGCAGTGTAGTATTTTTTTTGTTTAAAAAAAGAATAGCAGTGTAGTAGTGTATTGGATTGGGTTGAAAGGAACGGTAGTGTTGCTGGGAGGTAGGGCACATAGCAGAGCATGAAGGTTGCAAATTGCAAGCAGCAGGTAAGGGTCGGGTTGGGAGATTGGGACGCAAATCCCCACCGTTAATCATCATTACACTCACAAACCAAACAGAATTATATTAGCATCTACACCCAACCAGCACGTGCCACGTGGCAGCTTCCATAAGATAATTTAATTAAAAAGCGTAGATGTCGGCAGATATTTTGTGTAATTCATGAATTTATTAATAAGGGGTTACCCATTTCGGCATGGTGGATCGAGAGCGAGAATGGCCCAGTTTTCTCTCTCCCCTCTCTCCTGTCCCTGTGCACCTCCTCCTCTTCCACTTCGCCGCCCTTTCTTTCTCTCTCCTCACCGAGCCGCCGCCACCGACGCCGTTTGCACGTCCACTTCCTCCTCCGTTTCCAATTACGCGCCCAAAGTCGTCGTCACCAGAGAGCGCGGCAAGAACGCCAAGCTTATCGCTGCTCTGGTACTCACTTCTAATCACTCACTCTTTTCAACCTCTCGCTGCTACGATTTCTTTTCTTAGGACTGCATTGCAATGTGCTTATTCTTACTCACTCCAACTCCAACTAGCTAGTTGTGCTGTGTTTTCCGACTCTCGTTCTCGTTCCTCTGCTGCTTTTTCCTGCAATCTCAGCTTGTTTTTTCTTTCACCTATTCCGCGTTTGTATGTTACGTCTTTCTAGGAACTGAACGCCATCCCGTCGTGTA